AAACACACTGCACCCTTCACATACACACAGCACCCTTCACATACGCAATGCACCCTTCACATACGCACTGCACCCTTCACACACACACACACACTGCACCCTTCACACACACACACACACACTGCATCCTTCACACACACACACTGCATCCTTCACACACACACACTGCACCCTTCACACACACACACACTGCACCCTTCACACACACACACAGCACCCTTCACTCATACACACACACTGCATCCTTCACACACACAGCACCCTTCACACACACAGCACCCTTCACACACACACACAGCACCCTTCACACACACACACTGCACCCTTCACACACACACACACACAGCACACTTCACACACACACACACTGCAGTCTTCACACACAAACACACTGCAGCCTTCCCACACAAACACACTGCACTCTTCCCACACAAACACACTGCACTCTTCCCACACAAACAAACTGCACCCTTCCCACACACACTGCACCCTTCCCACAGACACACTGCACCCTTCACACACAAACACACTGCACCCTTCACACACAAACACACTGCACCCTTCACACACAAACGCACTGCACCCTTCACACACAAACGCACTGCACCCTTCACACACAAACACACTGCACCCTTCACACACATACAGCACCATTCACACACACACACTGCACCCTTCACACACAGAGCACCTCACAGAGACACTTAGAAAAAAAGTAGAAAAATTTAAATACATATTTAAAAAAAACAACCAACCAAGTTGATCCAGGTGGAACAAAAGAGTGTTGTCCCACCCCAAGGGGATATCCTAGGGGGAAACTAGATGTTTAGGCCACTCCCCCTGCACCTCCCATATCAAAAGAAAAGTCACCTAAATAGTGCTTTGAATTAGGGGGTAACGTTGGAGCTAAACTACTGACAATTAGAGCAAAAATCCCAATGTCACCCAAAATTGTGGGATACACTGGGGGGAAGCACAAAAGTATTGTAAGTGTCCAAAAAAAAAAAAAAACCTTAACCGATTAGTGACCAGACCGTTTTTCAATTTTCTTACCATTAAGGACCAGGGCTCTTTTTACATTTCTGTGGTGTTTGTATTTAGCTGCAATTTTCCTCTTACTCATTTACTGTACCCACACATATTATTTACCATTTTTCTCACCATTAAATGGTCTTATTAAAGATGCCATTATTTTCATCATATCATATAATTTACACAAACAATTATAACATATGATGAAAAAATATTTAAAAACCACACTTTTTCAACATTGACCCCCAAAGTCTGTTACGCATCTACAACCACCAAAAAAACACCGGTGTTAAATAGTTTCTAAATTTTGTCCTGAGTTTAGAAATGCCCAATGTTAACGTGTTCTTAGCTTTTTTGTAAAGTTATAGGGCTATAAGTACAAGTAGCACTTTGCTATTTCCAAACCATTTTTTTTTTTTCAAAACTAACTCAAGTTACATTGTAACACTGATATCTGTCAGGAATCCTTCAATAACCCTTCACATGTATATATTTTTTAAAAGAAGACAACCTAAGGTATTGAACTTGGGGTATTTTGACTCTTTTCGTGCAACCATTTTACCACCAACATATGCAAAATTAAAAAAAAATAATAGGTAGGGATTTTTTTGACACACATAGCAATTTAAGAATACATGTACGGATAATTTTACTTTACTGCCAAAGAACACCCCAATATGTGTTCAGCAACATCTCCTGAGTACAGTGACACCCCCCATGTCGGGTCGGGTTCTCTGGGGGCTGAAAGACCTTATTTGGAGGGTGCGCAATCAAGTTTTCCAACTTGGAATTTTCTCAGCTGGTCATCATGCATCCATGTCCTATTTGGGACATTTGTGAAGCCGTAATTTACCCCCATCAAACCATATATTTTTGAAAAGTAGACATCCTAGGGTATTTCAAATGGTGGTATTTTAACACTTTCCATGCACTAATTCTACCACCAGTCTTTGTCAGGGGAGTATTTACCGCGAGGCTGACAAGGCACTTGCCTTGGGCGGCACTTTCTGGGGGGCGGCAAAAAAAGCTGCCCCCAATCGCCCTGGCAAATGCCTTGTCAATCTCTTGTCCTGTGGGGCCCCCCTAGGCTGGCAGCGGCGACACTTGGCGGGCGCCGGGGGAGCACTGATCCTCCTGTTCAGCTCCCTTGCGCGCACCGCAATAATGCCGGAGCTGGAATATGACGTCACTCCGGCATCACTACGCGGCACGCAAGAGAGCTAAACCGGAGTGCTCCCTCGCCGACTGCAGTGACCGGCCGGCCGCCCAGCAGCCCCACTGGACTCCAGGGAAAGCGAGAATCCACCCCAGCACTCCCAAAGGTAGGAAGGCCGGGGGCAGCACAAAACCCAGATACACCACTGGTCTTTGTTAACCTGTTGGGTAGTCATTTTTTTGTGTTATTTTTCACACACATTGTACTTTAGGCATGGATTCTCAGCTCCTGTTATGTATGACTGCCAAAGAACACCACAGTATGTGTTCAGCAACATCTCCTGAGTACAGTGATACCACCCATGTACAGGTGTGTCGGATTCTCTAGGGGCTAAAAGACCTTATTTGGAGGGTGCGCATTCCAGTTTCCCAACTTGGAATTTTCACAGCTGGTCATCATGCACCTATGTCCTATTTGGGACATTTTCTTATGCCGGCCAACTTAATTTACGCCCAGCAAACCATATATTTTTGAAAAGTAGACACCCTAGGTTATTTTAAATGGTGGTATGTTTTTTACATTTTTTTATTTTTTATAATTCTTTATTTGTGTCGTGCAGATAATAGCATATATGCAGATAGTGACAATACATCAAGATTAATACATTTCAAGAAACAATAAATTTTTATGTCTAAGATAGTGCACTTTTTTTGTGTGTAATAACAGTGAAACAGGTATAATACATAACTCGTCAGAAGTCAAACATTGTAGGGTAATATTGTGATATACTGACAGCTGTATGCTTAGACTGTATTACCAAAGCTGAAAATATATAGTACATTTTAAGAAAACTAGATCCTAAGAATTCCACTCTATTTGGACAGATAAACTCCTGTCCTAATCCTTTTTAAACACTGAATACGCCCACAATTTCCAGCGCGCCTGCAAAGGTCACTTAGCATTGCACTGGGATGAACGCCAATTGATCAACTTCTACAGTGGCCACAATGGGGTGATTGTCCCTGTGGGTGTGTTTAACCATGGGGGAATACCTGTGGGTGAATCATCTGTCACTACGCATGCGCCGGGCTTATAACGATGTCCGAGGTCACCTAGCATTGCACTGGGATGAATGCCAATTGATCAACTTCTACAGTGGCCACAATGGGGTGATTGTCCCTGTGGGTGTGTTTAACCATGGGGGAATACCTGTGGGTGAATCATCTGTCACTACGCATGCGCCGGGCTTATAACGATGTCCGAGGTCACCTAGCATTGCACTGGGATGAATGCCAATTGATCAACTTCTACAGTGGCCACAATGGGGTGATTGTCCCTGTGGGTGTGTTTAACCATGGGGGAATACCTGTGGGTGAATCATCTGTCACTACGCATGCGCCGGGCTTATAACGATGTCCGAGGTCACCTAGCATTGCCAATTGATCTACCTCCTACAGGGGCCACAACGGGGTGATTGTCCCTGTGGGTGTATTTAACCATGGGGGAATACCTGTTGGTGAATCATCCGTCACTATGCATGCGCCGGGCTTATAACGATGTCCGAGCGCATGTCATAACAGCATGTATTTAAAAGTCCACCCATTGCTATATAGCGCAGTATCGTCCTTGAAAGTGCAGTGAAACTCATCAGAATAATTGGGTCAATAAATGCAGGTACATGAATGTGAATATAACTCTGTAGAGTTGGCATGCCCTATTTTCTTCCATTTAGTCACATACATTTAGCTAAATGCTATGCTTATAAGTAGTAAGCAGGGAAGTGGCTCCCTTAGGATCACTAAATGTATTAATGCATAACTAGCAGGAACAAAGTGAAAGTACTCCTACATTCTGTATGAAGAACACATTTCTATGGGCGTAGCCCGATAAAGTGAATCGCATTTATCCTGTGTGACTATCACTGGTGGAGGATAAAGTCACCCTTTTCCCTACCTGTCCAGAGGTGGACACCACCTACCTCTTATACCCCTGTTTTAATACTGTTTATATTTTCTTTTTAAGTGGACCATTATTTTTTGTATCATTGAGAATAAATCTTAAGGTTTTTTTTGGCCACTTACAATACTTTTGTGCTTTCTCCCAACATATTTAAAAAAAAAAAAAAACACCTTTCTAAATAAATACATTTAAAAATTACACTTGCGCTCTAAAGTTACTGTGGCACTGGTGGGCAGTAAGGAAATTTTACCAACTAAATATGATATAACAAAATATATATATTTATACAGTATATATATATGTCATCATATGCATTTGGCCTGTTTACCACTCATGAACTACTTGTAGAACATTTTGCACACTTTAGTAGAAAGCATGTTTCTAAAGGCATGGAGGGAGCTACTACAAATGTCTTCAAAAGCATCAATCATGAGGCTTTTAGACAGAAAACACGTTGAACAATACAGGACTAGTGTTAATCTCCATAATAACTATAAAAAGAAATACATCACACATTGATCAGGCTATCAATTTTTGCTTGTGTCCAAAGCTAAAACGTTCAAAGGCACTAGTTTATTCTTGTACCAAGACAATGACAGAAGGCAATGTCGCTATCACATACTGTGAGAATGAATGATTTGTCCGACAGTACAAACTAAAAGTTACAAGTCTGAGATCCCCATAGCAGTTTAACATGAATAAATGTTTCAGATACTATCACTTGACACTCATCGTATGAATTCTATAGTCCTGCAATAATAAATGACCGAACTATGACTCAAATGTGCTGGCTATGTTTTTAGTGCTGGAAATATACTTTAGAACATGGGTCCTCAAACTCCACCCCCCCCACCCCCAGATGTTGCTGAACTACAACTCCCATGATTCTCGGCTATCTATGTAATTTAAAGAATCATGGGAGTTGTAGTTCAGCAACATCTGGGGGGCCAGAGTTTGAGGACCTATGCTTTAGAAGAATGCATGTATGTATTTGAGTGTCTGGATAACCCACAAACATGTGTACATACATGCCAGGTAAAGCAGAATAGATACTAATAACTCTTAATTCCCTAAAATTGGCAAAGTAGAAACGTGCCTGCTTAGGTAGAATAGATGTAACAGCATCATGAATCCTCTCATATCACACAGCGTGAAAACAAGTGAGTACAAAGCATAATAAAGCTTGCATATATTAAAATCAAATTGAGATGAAATGACACTCACAAAGTAAGTCTATTAAAACATTCTTCAAGGGATTCTTCCATTAAATTGTTTCTTCTTCCTCAAAGTCACAGCATTGTCCGAAGAGTGCTCCAAAGACTATAAGTGGTTTCCTTGGATTGAAAGTTGGTGAACTTTGTAATGAGAGTAGCACCGGTGGCAAAATAACTCTTCATACCCGATCTAACCCTGCTGATTTACTTAGGCATGGAAAACATACTACTCACTATACCACCTAGTATAAGAGATGAGACATAGCTAAAAAGATTAACCTGAACAAGTATCAACAAGCTACGTTTTAATGTGTACAATGAAACTGCCTTAATGCACAATACTTTCTTTAAATATTGTACTATGTCTATGCATGTAACACTTTGATATATCTCAATAAAAATTTGATTGACAAAAAAATAAATAAAAAATAACTCTTCATATTGCAGATCCCTGAGTAGAATCATTGCATTCAGGCTTTTTGCTGTAAACACTGTATTTTCAGAGAAAATGCAGTGTTTACATTACAGCCTAGTGATAACTTCACTGGCCACTCCTTAGATGGCTGTTAGAGATCCTTCCTGGGTCATGGCAGCCTAAAATGCATCCAAACATTCACTGTCTCCTCCCTCTGCACGCAGACACTGAACTTTCCTCATAGAGATTCATTGATTCAATTCATCTCTATGAGGAGATGCTGATTGGACAGGGCTGTGTTTGAATCATGCTGGCTCTGCCCCTGATCTGCCTCTTTGTTAGTCTCAGCCAATCATATGGGGAAGCACAGTGATTGGATCAGGCCACTACTTCTGATGATGTCAGCAGACTGCTTGTTTTTCTGAGTGTAATAGCATGCAGAGTTACAGCTTCAGACTTGAATACAGTAAGATTTTGCAATATTTATGGAGGCATGAGGGGCCCAGGGGGGCTAGATGGTGGTGTTAACACTATAGGGTTAGGAATACATGTTTGTGTTCCTGACCCTATAGTGATCCTTTAAAGTTGTGCCTTGGCAGCATGGGTCTTCAGCTAGACCCTGGAGTTTCAGCCTGAAGCAGTATTGCTGCTTCGGGTAGGCTGGGGGGCTTGAAATCCAAATGTAGGCCCCTACAGCCCTGGATCTTTTTGTCTCCTTGCCTTTCCAGCTCTACTCTCCCTGACTGTTCCCTGTTTCTGGCAGTGGAAGCAGCACAGTGATTAAGACAAGCAGGAAATATGACACAGTGTTATATTCCCTGTGTGTCTCTGTAATTGCATTGCTTTCTTTCCTGGCTGAGCCCCACTGAGGAGACCAGTGTGCGCATGGAGTGTAGAGCATCCTTCAGAGATGGCAGCAGAGAAGATATAGGAGTTGCTCAAAGAAGAAGCACCCTTCCTTTGTTCTCTCCCTACTGAACAAGGTTGACACCTTGACTGTATTTTACTGTCACAGTTAGCATCTAAGCAAAGGCTGGTATATTTCTCTGGACTTTGTGAGAGAAATGGAGCCAGAATATCCACCTCTATTATACATGGCACACACAGGCACAGTATACACACAATTACAAACACACAGTGACACAATACTACACACACTCCGACATAGTACACATGCATTGACACAGATACACACTGCTACACATATATAATGCTACAAACACTGTCAGACATTGTAAACGCATTTAAAGTATTTTTTTTGTGATTTAATAAATAGTTTAATTCCATCTTTTTTTTACGTCAGTCCCTGTGATGTTACATAACACTGTGATAGCAAAGAAAATTAAATTTTTTATGTGATGCATTAATTCCCATCCAAGAAAAACAGGATTTGCATGAATGTTTATATCTAGCAAACCTTCATGCATATCCTGTACCTCTTGGATGGGAATTCATGCTTTCTTAAAATAAGTAATTATTTTGTTCTTACTCTCCCCTTGTAACCCCATCCTCTGTACTGTTTGCGGGTTTTTTTTTCTATCTCTTCCACCTCACTCTATGATCTTCACACAAGATATTTACGACCCTCTGTGAAAATGTTTATTTTTTATTAAAGCTGTGTCTTATCTGCACTCATGTCGCTTTAACCCCTGTATCATAAACTCAACTTTGAATTCTATGTGTTGTCTTGCTCAGAAATGCTTTAGACTTGAGAAAGGGAAGTTCTCCCGAAAGCTTGTCATTAAAAAATTCTGTAAGTCCAATAAAATAAGGTATTACAAGATACAAATTTTATCTGTTTTTTAAATTTACATCACTGGACTAATACGGCTACAATCTCTACTTGAACACATAGATCGATAGATTGATAGATATGTGTGATCAGGGCTGCCATCAGAAATGTTGGGGCCGATAACACTGCTCAATGTCTGGGGGCTGCCTCCAAATCCTGTCCACAGGAATTCACACACAGACACAAAAACACTCACTGATACAAAAAGGACACAGATACACACACACACACACACACAGAGATACATACATACTAACAGACACACATACTGAAACAGACATACACACATACATGCATACATACTAACAGACACACATACTGAAACAGACACACAGGCATACATAGTGACACACAGACACATACTAACATACATACTGACACACGCATAAGGACATACATACACACGCATACATACTGACATACAGACCCATACATACATACAGACCTATACATACACATACTGACATACATACACACATACATACAGACATACACACACAGACACAAAAACACTCACTGATACAAAAAGGACACAGATACACACACACACACACAGATACATACATACTAACATACACACATACTGTAACAGACATACACACATACATGCATACATACTAACACACACATACTGAAACAGACACACAGACACATACTAACATACATACTGACACATGCATAAGGACATACATACACACGCATACATACAGACACATACATACATAAAGACCTGTACATACACATACTGACATACATACTGAAATACATACAAATACACACATACATACAGACATATATATACACATACATACATACACACAGACATAGCTAATTTTTCTTACCTTTTCTTTGCAGGAGAGTGGCTGGGGCTGATGTGAGTCGACTGGCTTTCCCCTCCTCATGGCCTGTCTCTCTCCCCTCCCGGCCGTCACTTCCTCCCAGCACTACTTGTGGCTGCAATTTTTATTACACGGCAGCAGCGCTAACCGGGCCCCTGAAGATATAGGGCCCATTGGGTGGTCATAAATGCTTGGGCCACCCGGTTACATCCAATGCAGACTTTTATTGGAGACAAAAAGGCAATGTTTCGACTTAGCAGAGTCTTTAACAAGCTATAGTGAACATGCTCACAATATCACATATAATTAGTGCAGACAATATACTAATACTCATTAACAGTTGTTACTACATTATTGGATCTTCCATAATTAACACAGACATTTCATCATTCAATTCACATTTATAACACAGATCAGTACAATTTGTTTTACAAAAGCAGTGACTTGAATTTACAGATAAGGACACAAAAATGCATATTTGACGTTAAAAACAAGTATTTACCATTAAGAACCAATCCAAGTTCATATTTAAACTTCAAAGTGTTTGTTATCTAAATAGACACAAACCAAACGTTTTACTAGTTAGGTGAAAGCCAAAAGTAAAACATGCATAAACACACTAATTCCAATGAGAACCATCCTCTGAATGTGAACCTGTGTTTATATAGGGATAAGGGAACTTACAAACCTGTGACTGTGCATGTTTGGCACAATCGGAAAATCATACAAAACCAAGCAAAAAAGGGGTATCCCAGCATTCGGTGTCGCGAATGACATGAAGTGACATTGCGATTTCAGGTCAGGCCATAATTTAAGCAGCAGGTAACATGACAGTGAATTATCCATATTTCATGTAAGGAGAAAAAAAATAAAAATCACTGATGCAATTTTCAATTTGCATCTCATAACTTCTAATTCATACTTATGAAGCTTTTACTGGTGTGTCTGCTTGATAGTATGTGGTATTAGATGTCTATTAAATTAGGCTCACATGTAGAAAATGGAACCAGAAATGCTCTCTTCATTCACTTCCGAGATTCAGATCTCAAAGTTATATCGCACAATTACACATAATGAGTTCTGATGTAATGTTATCACTGGTGACTCAGAATTCTAAAATAGGTCTCTTATAATAGATGCATATTTAAAAGGACCATGGTATATAGACATTATTAGTTTAATCAGTGTGTTCCTTCAATTATCCATGATGGCTCTTTTACATTATTTGATATTTTAAAGGAAAAATAAAAAAAAAAAGCATAATGTAACCACTTTCTTCCCAATCTGTTTGTACTCGTGGGCACCAGAAGTCTACCACCCCAACCCTTTGTGTAAACAGACCTGGATCTTTTGTCAAGGGAATTCTCCTTGCTCAATCCCTTAAATAGACTATCTTAACGATAAGTAATATACTTGTCTATCCTTGCCTTTCTGAATTCATTTTCGGTTTAGGGTTATGCCAAACACCAGCCTCCATATGCCTTTATTAGTTGCAATACTGGTGGTCTTCACTAAGGCTAGGCATTGCAGTGATGATAACAGTGGGTATAGAAAATAGAAAAGCAGGTATAAGATGTATAACTGTCAACATGTGTGGTTTCCTGCACGTAAGCCATCAAGAAATCTGCCATGTATTTTCTTGACCCTTTAATGAATATAATGCTGTTCTGAACAAACATGCTTAG